TTTTGTTTGCTGATAGTCCTTAATTTTTTCTTGATGGTCCCTTAAAAGTCCTTAATTTTCATGTAAGGAAATGTGTACGAACCCTGTAATGTCTTCGTGGTTAAGAAGGTACCGTTCGACAAGACGAAACAAAATATTTATTAAAATAACATAAGACATACAATTTTAGTTGGTGCAGTACATCACTCCTACAACATACAATAATCAAGCACCTTGCTCCTCTGTGGCTAAATATTCAACTTCTATAAATATATCAACCTTTTTGAGAGAAGAGGCAAAATGTGACAAGCGCGCTTTGTTCATTGCAAAACAATCATCAGATACTGCATCTCAGTGTTAGAAGGATCAGAAACAAAAGATATCACTTGAATAGATTGGCTCGCTTACTCACCACATTTGAACACAATCTAGCATGCCATATGCCACTAAATTGTAGTTTGCCAAATGTCTTCCTAGGCACTCCAGTATTTGAAAAGGGCAGTTCCTAAAGAATGTCATGCAATTTCACAAGACTTGATCTACAGTGTGGTAAATTCTGCATTGAGGTTTGTATTTCTGTCATACATCATATTAAAGAAAGATTTGTTGGAAGACTGGAGCTCTTTCTGATCACTTTTATGTTTTCGTAAATTCTATGTTTTATTTAGAGGAACTGAATGCTTTTATAAATATTATTTCACATTTTATTCGAAAAAATTTCTGTCATCACTCCTTTTTTCTGTGATGTGAATCATATTGAACTTGCATGAACAAAATCAGTAGAACTTTCATATATACAGAATATTTTTATTTTTTATTATTTCATAAGGCACATAGTTATCAAATTCTTTTTGTCCATAGTATTTTTCTCGAATAATTTACTCATTTTTTCTTTTAATTTTTGACATATTTTCTGATTGTTGGTATATGTGCTCTGAAACACTGATTATTTTAAATAAGAAATATTCTTTGTGAATTAGGAAAGATTAAAATGACCTGTATCTCACTTATTTTAATAAATTCTAATTTACATCTCATTTCTTTAAATAATTTTTCTTACTTTAGTACTTTTAGGAATAGTATGCTCATTATGGCTAAATTTATTTTTTAGGCATTGTCTAAGAGGTCACCCAGGATAATTAGTCAGACTAATAGACCTTTAGCTCCTGTATCTGTTCCTCAAAGATATGTTTCTGTTTTACCAAATGTTAGTATTGTAAGTAAATCTCATTTATTATTTTTTTTTTCTCTTTTTTTAGTGCTGAAAATATATTATGTTTTATACTTCCAATTATTCAGTGGTGTGATATATGAAATTCTTTAAGTAAGAAGAGTGAATTTTCTGAAATATTTTTCAGAAAGTAATCATAAGGGTGAACTTATAAAGGGGTTAATATATAGAGTTTTGCTTAGGAATTTGTTTTTTTTTTAATAATATATATTTCACAATATTAAAAATATTTCTTTAGTTATATAATACTGGGGAGCAATTTGTAACATAATTTCTGTTGAGTTCGATTTTTGAGTTGTTTTATAGTTTAATAGGCTGCTGATTTCAAAACTGTAGTTAGTTTTCTTCTACTACATCACGTTTTTTCTCTACATGTTATGTGAATTTAACCATTCTCTGTGGCATCGAGCATAGATCATAGGAAGTGCTACTGCTGTCCTGTTGGCTAAGGAGGCCTGTTTTCCATCAACAGAAAGTGTGTTTTTATAATACTCTTGAAAGTGATGATGGATTTGTGAATTGCCATAATGTACACTGATAAAAAAAAAGGGGCAGCAGTGCTATATCTCCCGTTCTACTGGGCCGATTGACAAAATTCAAATTGCATTTTTCATATCACGAAAGCGCGGTTTAGGATATATATTAGATTTATATATAGCACTATTCTAACATAGGTATTTTGACACAAAATCAGACTTTTTCTGAAATAACATACCAATGTTTTTCCATTCTACGACTCAAATTATGGCACAATGCCGAGTTTTGTAAAAATCATACGAGTAGTTTTTAAAATATTAGCTCTCAAAATTTTAGCTCCTATATTTGTTAATTGAATTTGGCAAGTAATAATTAATATCTCTTTTTTATTAAACTTTTTTGATTTTTCCTTTCACATTTCAAAATTTAGGTTCATTCCACTTTTTGTTTTTTTTTTTTAATTCATTTTAATTTTTTTTTATTTTAAAAAATTTAATTAACTATAAAATTTTACAAATCAATGATCTTTATGCAAATCTTTTTTTAAAAAAATTTTTATATCCTTTAATTTGGCCAAATAACGGTCCTTAATTTGCTCATTTGACATTTCTTATCATTTCTAATGATTGCCATTCTAAGTGTGAATTACGATTTCTCATGAATATGGAATTAAAATTACACAGCTCTTAACTAATCTGTTGGCGGATTTGCATTGCAAACGATTAAAAAAAAAAAAAAAAAAACAATTAGCTACCCGAACGAAAGTATCGGTGTCTGATTGGCTATTCACGCAATCTTTCGAAACAGGTGTTATCCATAAATTTAGGCAGACTGTGACGAAAGCGTGAAGCTGGAAGTTCTTTAAGAGGCGAAAGTGATGATGAAGGTGCTCGAGAAAAAAAAAAAAAAAAGGGGAGGGGGATTCTGAAAATATTTGCCAAAACTAGAGCAATTCCAACCTGGAAGGCCACAACCCTTCCGACGCCAATAGGAACGAGATGCCTGGAAAGTGCATTTTCAATAAACTGTGGCTTCATCAAGCTGACTACAAAGACTGGATATTGATGGATGGCAATCCTTAAATGTGGTCTTTGTCTGAAACAAATTGAAATTTCTAGAATGGGAGAGTCAGCACTGAAAATTCACATTAAAATTAAGTTTCGTTTTATCATTTCAATTTGTTTTTACACGGTTTTGCTTAGCTTAATTTCTGTGTTTGTTTCAATTAAGCCATAAATTAATTTTTTATCACCTTCTACGGAGTTTATTCTCTTTTGCACATACTATATGTATGGGATATCGGGATTATGAGTTTATTTCTGCAGAGGGTCTGTTATCGATTTCGCGGGAAATCTGTTGGCTCCATTTCGATTTTAGGTCGCCAAGGGCAAAATCGGTAACGCTAGCTGAGAAAAAGTGAAGTTCGGAAATACGTTTTGAAGCTTCAATAGACAATTAAGTATTTGGTTTAAACCTATGTTGATAGTAATGCATAATTTTTGCTAATGGCGATACAATTATTAGTTGAAAATAATTATATTGTAATTTAGGCATATTTCTGCACTACAGTGCACTCTAGTATAATGAATTGAAATTTTTCTAAAGATATAAAGTTCGAATAAAAATAATGTGTAATGATGAAATGAAGGACTGTGTTATTAAAGTTCATGCTCTTTCTTCAATAATTTTAACAAGCTATAACTATTTCATAATTATCACTTGTAACAAATATGCCAAATTTCAAAATCCTCCAGTGTATAAATTAAAAGTGCACCAGTGTATGAATTCATGTATATCTTGGGAAATTTTAAATAAAAAACGCGAATTTTTTTGGCAGGTATGCAAATACATCTCTTTTAAGGTGATGGTATAAATTTTATAGGTTATAATTAAAAATTTTTTGAATAATTTATTAAAATTACTGAAAAATACAAATTAAAAAAGTGAGAAAATGTCTGCAAATTTATTTTTGATTTAACCTAAATTTTGAACTGCAAAAGAAGGAATCAGATAAGTTTAATAAGAAAAGAGATTTTAATAAGTATATATCAAATTCAATTAACATTGAGGAGTTGAAATTTTGACAGCTAATTTTTTATAAACTACTTATGTGATTATTACAAAATTTGGCATTTTGGCATAATTTGGTTCATACGAGGGCCATCCAGGAAGTAGATTACGTTTCCGTCTGTGTCCGCTAGGGGCGGGGCTAGCGCGGCCATCTTGGGGTCAGAGCGTTGCGCAGCTCAGTCTGCATCTAGCCGTGCTAGTGAGAGGTTCGTGCTGTGCTCCGTTCAGATACTGTGACGGTTTGAAATGTCTGCGTTAATTGAAAATCCGCGAGCTCGAGGTGCGCTCAGTAATAAGGTTTCTGACTGCAAAAAAAATTGTAAACCGATAGAAATCTATCGCAGCTTCGTGAAGTGTATGGGGACAACATTATCACTGAAGGTGGAGTGCGTCAGTGGGTCATAAGATTTCAAAATGGTCCGAACCAATGTTCACGACGAAGATCGAAGTGGGAGACCCAGCATAGTGACCGCCGAACTTCTCGAAAAAGTCGATCCTAAAGTCCGTGAAAATCGAAATTTCACAATAACGGAACTTTCTTTGAGTTTTCCACAAATTTCGCGAAGTTTGTGCACGAAATCATCAGCGAAAAGCTTGGTTACCACAAGTTTTGTGCAAGATGGATTCCAAAAATCTTGACAGAGGACCACAAAAATCAGCGAATGGCTGCAGCGTTGAACTTTTGGACGCTTACCATAAGGATGGTGACTCTTTACTCGATCGCATCGTTACTGGTGACGAAACATGGGTGAAACATGTGAACTGTGAAACGAAATTGCAATCAATGCAGTGGGGGGCACACAAGTTCTCCCAAAAACCCAAGAAATGCATGCAAACAATGTCGGCAAGGAAGATGATGGCGACTGTTTTTTGGGACAGAAAAGGTTGTAATTTTGTGGACTTCCTGGAAAGAGGCACTACAATAAACTCTCAAAGGTATTGCCAAACTCTCCAAAAACTCAGAAGAGCAATTCAAAACAAGCGCAGAGGAATGTTGAGCTCTAAGATCTTGTTGATTCACGACAACGCCCGGCCCCACACGGCAAATGTCACTCGTGTAAAGTTCTGAATCTTTTAAGTGGGAGTTTGTTTCCTCATCCGCCGTACAGTCCCGACCTGGCACCGAGCGACTTCCACCTATTCCCAGCAATGAAGAAGTGGCTGGCTATGCAGCGTTTTGATGACGACGCACAGCTGCAAGAAGAGGTAACGAAGTGGTTTGAAGGCGCAGGCGGCCGAATTTTTCGACGAAGGAATTTCCAAGCTCGTACATCGCTACGATAAATGCCTTAATTTGTATGGTGACTATGTAGAAAAGTAGTATTTGAGTGTGGCTTTCATCTGTATATAATAAAATTTGTTTCCTATACTTTGTTTATTTTTTTATTCCAAAACGTAATCTACTTTCTGGATAGCCCTCGTACAATCGAAATATAAGGTAAACAATGTGTCATTTCACTTAAAACCAAAGTGCCTTAGTAAGGGATCTGATCTCTCCTAACTGCAGTCGTTGCATTGCACCATCTGCTGATACCTAACATTAGATTATTTAACAGTTCTTGGGATAAGAATTCCCATTCTTCAAGCAGCATCTGTTTCAGTTGTCTGATGTTGTTCCGAAGGTATGCCATTCATGTTCAATGAGATTTAAATCAGGTTAGCATATTGGCAAATCCGTTCTATGTACATCTTCACTTTAGATTGCTCCTTAACAGCATGACTGCTGTGTGGGCATCCATTGTCATCTACAAAAGCAATTTCAGGACAATAGCATCCCAAAAAAGTTGCACATGAGGAAGGATAACTTCATCACCTTAATGATCTTTAGTAAATGATCCTCTTATGAAAAATGTACAGCTTTGTCCATTCATGCAACATAATTCCTCCCCATATAAGCATACCAGGACCACCTCCAAACAGTCTCTTTCTTAAAATTGATAATAAAATGAAATTAGATTTGAGATATGTTGGGGATTCCATTTATGCTAGAATCACCAAGCGACACATTTTAAGAGTTATCGAGTAACCAAGAAAGTGTGTGCACTTTTTGGCACTCCCAAAATTAGGCCACGAAAATCTTAAAACACCCATTTCACCATTAGCTTCAGTTACAGCTTGTTCCCAATGAGACACAAGCTTATAAATGTCCATTTTGAAAAAAGTCCTTTTTTTCTGGAGTAAAAAAATTGTGATACAGCTTTTCTAACATCATTGTGTTTTCGTAACTGTTGTTCCCACAGGTCCTACAGGTTCCAGCTGTTCCATGACCCAAACAAGGTAATATTCAGATGGGGTGATGAGGAGTAGGGTGGTGGAGGCAGAATCCAGGACTAATCCACCAAGCACACAGTATTGCTTTCTTTTAATGAACGCCTGGTTTAGCAGGCAATGAGACCGAACCAGAAGTCTGCCAATGATGTTTCATTTTAAGATTATTC